TTTAAACGTTGTAAGCTCTTTGAGGCAGCTCAATTTTGAATGAAATAAAGTTTTCTTAAATTTCTCTTCGTTGAAATTCTTTTTGTGTGGATTTTTGTCTTTCCTATAATCTCCCGCTGCATCAGTGTATCTATATGAAATTTTAAATACCCACACTTTCCAAAGATATACAGCTTATCATTCCAATGATAACATGGTTAACTAACATTCGGATTTAATTTTCTAATTTTTTTTAATTTTTTTTCGAAATAAGAAATTATAATCGAAATTTTCTATTACCATTGCCGCTTTTGAAAACATGATAGTTTGGGTAAAATATTTCCATATTAACCACTCAATATTATTCACAGTCCAAACCCCATCATTCATAGCCATTCACCTTAATAACTTAAGGTATGACGGCTCAAACTCAACCAACTTGAATATTTAAAAAAAAAATATTACATAATACTTTGCATCAATTTCCACAGGTTACAAAGAGAAGGCTTCTAAATCTTCCAGAGACTGAAGGAAATCACAGGTTTATTGTGACTTGACCAATGCGGTTTTATTTTACCCAATCTATGGCTGTAAATAAATGTTTTTTTTTTTTTCTCCTTAGTATTACTCGTAAATCAAACCAAACCAAACCAAAGTAAATGTATTGATTGTTAGTGTTAGCGTACTATTTTTTATTTTCCTAAATCATGCGCTATTTAGGCACATATGGTAGGTGCATTCGGAATAAAATATTCCACTCACAGCAAAGAGCTCAAGTATTGTGTATTTTCACCATCAGAAGCATTATTTTGCCGTCTTGTTTTTTTTTTAGTTTTTTTCTTTTATTCACAATGTTGAAAAATATGAGTCATATTTTTAAAAGTTTTATTAATTGACTAGCTTGATATTCCTTCTGATTTTTAATTGCCAAATTAACTGTCAAAATTGTGTGAAAAATGTTACAGATCCTACCAGTCAGTACTAACTATTCGGATGGTGAATATTTCAAATAGAATCTTTAGGCTGCATTTTCTAAAGTTTTCTAAATTTAACCGGGACGGCCTCTTGCTATATAATATTACAGCTCGGGTAGACTAGATTATCTTCCATCCCAGATGTAATACACTGAACTCCACTTTACACGCTTGATCAATATAATTCACGCATCATTTGCTATTTACATTGTCATTTGCATTTACATCAATAGTTGGTAATTGCTTTATCTTATAATGGTGCATTTAATCATTGAGGCTTTAATATCTTTACATGGTGTTAGTTTTTGACCCCCGATCTAGGTGGTGAATCTTATATTAAGTTGTGGTGGAAAATTAGGTTAATCAAGATGTTGGATATTGATTTGTTAATTGATCTTTGAAGTGTCGAACTTATTATCCATAAAGTTACTAGCTTTTTGATTCGTATAATCAAGGTTACCCCCAAACCCTAATTAAGTATTTAACATATTTGGTACATGAGCCTTAAAGTGACATGATCAAAATACAATAATATAAGGTTCATATGACGTTATAAATATTGAAGTGTAAATTGTTGAAATCAATTGAGAATTGAGTGCCAATCGGATAAGGAATCAAACGAAGGGTTAATAAATTAACTCCATAAATTATTTTGGGATCATAGGGCAATTAAATTAGGTTTTAGATGCATTAAAATATGTCAAATACACTTGATTAGGATCTTCAATGGTAACTGTAAAAAATCAGATTTTACTACAAAGAATCACCTTAGGGCCATTTGTCTTTTAATAGTGTTGATATACAAAAATGAGGCCCAATTAAAATGGTCCAAGAAATGGAGTCCAGTTAAGGAATTTGAAGGATATGCCCAAATGAGACAATTGTGAAGTATAGGTGGAGGCCCATAAACGGAGGATTATCATGGCCCAAGTCTACAGGACGCTCAGACCTTATTGTCGCTTAGAGCTACGGTCTCATTCTCGTCCAAACCTTCGAAGACGCCCAAGATCTGGGCGAACATAGCATCCTGTTGTTATTTAAAGCGGCGATTTTTGAAGAAGTTTTTGAGCAGTCTTATCACATTCCACGATCCAAGAATTTCGGTTTTCAAGCAGTTAAGGAGAGTAGTGGCAGCAATTTAAAAACGGCAGTTCTTTAACACGTCAGCCATTATGAAGCAAGTGGGTAGTTATAGAGCGAGAAGCAGTTTCCAAACGGTTTCACAAGGAAAACTGGTGAAAGAGTATAAAAGAAAAAGAAGACGTAGAAAGAAGGACCCCCGAATCAATTGCTCTCAAACGGAAAATGTGTAATTTTACTTCTTTTAGTTCTTATCGTCAACTTTCACCTTATTTTGTGTGCTGGTGCTCCTTGGAGGCGTTCTGTTTCTTTTTTCATT